TTTTACAAAATGCCCCCAAAACTTCAACGTTTTCCATAGCCGGCATCATCGAAAAAGTCAGTTTTTGACCCAAAAATCCAACTTCACCAAATTTCCTCAAAAGTTCACTCGAGGTGCCTAGAGGCCAGAATGGAATTCCCTGAAAAGTTCAACTCATTACATTCAGTATCCAGTGAGAAAAGACAAATTTTTTGATTTTTTACAAAATGCCCCCAAAACTTCAACGTTTTCCATAGCCGGCATCATCGAAAAAGTCAGTTTTTGACCCAAAAATCCAACTTCACCAAATTTCCTCAAAAGTTCACATGAGGTGCCTAGAGGCCAGAATTTGATTCCCTGAAGAGTTCAACTCATCACATTCAGTATCCAGTGAGAAAAGAATTTTTTTTGATTTTTTACAAAATGCCCCCAAAACTTCAACGTTTTCCATAGCTGGCATCATCGAAAAGGTCATTTTTTGACCCAAAAATCCAACTTCACCAAATTTCCTCAAAAGTTCACTCGAGGTGCCTAGAGGCCAGAATGGAATTCCCTGAAAAGTTCAACTCATTACATTCAGTATCCAGTGAGAAAAGACAATTTTTTTTGATTTTTTACAAAATGCCCCCAAAACTTCAACGTTTTCCATAGCCGGCATCATCGAAAAAGTCGGTTTTTGTCCCAAAAATCCAACTTCACCAAATTTCCTCAAAAGTTGACACGAGGTGCCTAGAGGCCAGAATTGAATTCCCTGAAGAGTTCAACTCATTACATTCAGTATCCAGTGAGAAAAGACAAATTTTTGATTTTTTTCAAAATGCCCCCAAAACTTCAACGTTTTCCATAGCCGGCATCATCGAAAAAGTCAGTTTTTGACCCAAAAATCCAACTTCACCAAATTTCCTCAAAGTTCACATGAGGTGCCTAGAGGCCAGAATTTGATTCCCTGAAGAGTTCAATTCATCACATTCAGTATCCAGTGAGAAAAGAATTTTTTTGATTTTTTACAAAATGCCCCCAAAACTTCAACGTTTTCCATAACCGGCATCATCGAAAAAGTCAGTTTTTGACCCAAAAATCCAACGTCACCAAATTTCCTCAAAAGTTCACTCGAGGTGCCTAGAGGCCAGAATGGAATTCCCTGAAAAGTTCAACTCATTACATTCAGTATCCAGTGAGAAAAGACAAAATTTTTTGATTTTTTACAAAATGCCCCCAAAACTTCAACGTTTTCCATAGCCAGCATCATTGAAAAAGTCGGTTTTTGTCCCAAAAATCCAACTTCACCAAATTTCCTCAAAAGTTGACACGAGGTGCCTAGAGGCCAGAATTGAATTCCTGAAGAGTTCAACTCATTACATTGTGTTTCCAGTGAGAAAAGACAAATTTTGATTTTTTTCAAATGCCAGGAAAACTTCAACGTTTTCCATAGCCGGCATCATCAAAAAAGTCAGTTTTTGACCCCAAAATCCAACTCATCAAATTTCCTCAAAAGTTCACAACAGGTGCCTAGAGGCCAGAATTGAATGCCCTGAAGAGTTCAACTCATTACATTCAGTTTTCAGTGAGAAAATAATTTTTTTTTTGATTTTTTACAACATGCCCCCAAAACTTCAACGTTTTCCATAGCCGGCATCATCGAAAAAGTCAGTTTTTGACCCAAAAATCCAACTTCACCACATTTCCTCAAAAGTTCACACGAGGTGCCTAGAGGCCAGAATTGAATTCCCTGAAGAGTTCAACTCATTACATTCAGTATCCAGTGACAAAAGAAAAATTTGTGATTTTTTACAAAATGCCCCCAAAACTTCAACGTTTTCCACAGCTGGCATCATCGAAAAAGTCAGTTTATGACCCAAAAATCCAACTTCACCAATTTCCTCAAAAGTTCACACCAGGTGCCTAGAGGCCAGAATTGAATTCCCTGAAGAGTTCAACTCATCACATTCAGTATCCAGTGAGAAAAGAAGATTTGAGATTTTTTACAAAATGCCCCCAAAACTTCAACGTTTTCCATAGCCGGCATCATCGAAAAAAGTCAGTTTTCTCCAAAAATCCAACTTCACCAATTTCCTCAAAAGTTCACTCGAGGTGCCTAGAGGCCAGAATTGATTTCCTGAAGAGTTCAACTCATCACATTCAGTATCCAGTGAGAAAAGATTTTTTTTTGATTTTTTTACAAAATGCCCCCAAAACTTTCAACGTTTTCCATAGCCGGCATCATCGAAAAAGTCAGTTTTTGTCCCAAAAATCCAACTTCACCAAATTTCCTCAAAAGTTGACACGAGGTGCCTAGAGGCCAGAATTGAATTCCCTGAAGAGTTCAACTCATTACATTCAGTATCCAGTGAGAAAAAAAAATTTGAGATTTATTGAAAATGCCCCCAAAACTTCAACGTTTTCCATAGCCGGCATCATCGAAAAAGTCAGTTTTTGACCCAAAATCCAACTTCACCAATTTCC